TATATATATATATATATATAATATATATATATATATATATATATATATATATATATATATATATATATATATATATATATATATATATATATATGCAAACAAGCCTGAATGGTCCCCAGGACTATATACAACTGAAAACTCCCACCCCAGAAGTGACTCGAACCCATACTGCCAGGAGCAACGCAACTGGTATGTACAGGGACGCCTTAATCCACTTGACCATCACGACCGGACATAAGGAAGTGATAGCCGAAGCTATTTGACCCACTTCCCCGCCGGCACTCGGATGGTAATCTTGGGCATAGCATTTTATCAAATCACCTCATTCTTTGGGGCACACGTGAGGAACACAAATGCAAACAAGCCTGAATGGTCCCCAGGACTATATACAACTGAAAACTCACACCCCAGAAGTGACTCGAACCCATACTGCCAGGAGCAACGCAACTGGTATGTACAGGGACGCCTTAATCTGCTTGACCATCACGACCGGACATAAGGAAGTGATAGCTGAAGCTATTTGAACCACTTCCCCGCCGGCACTCGGATGGTAATCTTGAGCATAGCATTTTATCAAATCACCTCATTCTTTGGGGCACACGTGAGGAACACAAATGCAAACAAGCCTGAATGGTCCCCAGGACTATATACAACTGAAAACTCACACCCCAGAAGTGATGGTCAAGCGGATTAAGGCGTCCCTGTACATACCAGTTGCGTTGCTCCTGGCAGTATGGGTTCGAGTCACTTCTGGGGTGTGAGTTTTCAGTTATATATATATATATATATATATATATATATATATATATATATATATATATATATATATATATATATATATATATATATATATATATATATATATATATATATATATATAACTGATATATATATATATATATATAACATATATATATATATATATTATATATTACATATATATATATATATATATATATATATATATATATATATATATATATATATATAAATATATATATATATATATATATATATATATAAATATATATATATATATATATATATATATATATATATATATATATATATATATATATATATATATATATATATATATATATATATATATATATATATATATATATATGTCGTACCTAGTAGCCAGAACGCACTTCTCAGCCTACTATGCAAGGCCCAATTTGCCTAATAAGCCAAGTTTTCATGAACTATTGCTTTTTCGACTACCTAACCTACCTAACCTAACCTAACCTAACATTTTCGGCTACCTAACCTAACCTAACCTATGAAGATAGGATAGGTTAGGTTAGGTAGGGTTGGTTAGGTTCGGTCATATATTTACGTCAATTTTAACTCCAATAAAAAAAATTGACCTCATACATAATGAAATGGGTAGCTTTATCATTTCATAAGAAAAAAATTAGAGAAAATATATTAATTCAGGAAAACTTGGCTTATTAGGCAAATCGGGCCTTGCATAGTAGGCTGAGAAGTGCGTTCTGGCTACTAGGTACGACATATATATATATAAATATGTATATATATGTCGTACCTAGTAGCCAGAACGCACTTCTCAGCCTACTATGCAAGGCTCGATTTGCCTAATAATACAAGTTTTACTGAATTAATATATTTTCTCAAATTTTTTTCTTATGAAATGATAAAGCTACCCATTTCATTATGTATGAGGTCTTTTTTTTTTTATTGGAGTTAAAATTAACGTAGATATATGACCGAACCTAACCAACCCTACCTAACCTAAACTAACCTATCTTTATAGGTTAGGTTAGGTTAGGTAGCCGAAAAAGTTAGGTTAGGTCAGGTAGGTTAGGTCGTCGAAAAAACATTAATTCAAGAAAACTTGCTTATTAGGCAAATCGGGCCTTGCATAGTAGGCTGAGAAGTGCGTTCTGGCTACTAGGTACGACATATATATATATATATATATATATATATATATATATATATATATATATATATATATATATATATATATATATATATATATATATATATATATATATATATATATATATATATATATATATATATGTCATATATTTATATATATATATATGTATATGTATATATATATATGTATATGTATATATATATGTATATATATATATATATATATATATATATATATATATATATATATATATATATATATATATATATATATATATATATATATATACATATATATATGTGCATATATATATATGCACTTGTCAGCCTACTATGCAAGGCCCGATTTGCCTAATAAGCCAAGTTTTCCTGAATAAATATATTTTCTCTAATTTTTTTCTTATGAAATGATAAAGCTACCCATTTCATTATGTATGAAGTCAATTTTTTTTTTATTGGAGTTAAAATTAACGTAGATATATGACCGAACCTAACGAACCCTACCTAACCTAACCTAACCTATCTTTATAGGTTAGGTTAGGTAGCCGAAAACGTTAGGTTAGGTTAGGTTAGGTAGGTTAGCTAGTCGAAAAACAATTAATTCATGGAAACTTGGCTTATTAGGCAAATCGGGCCTTGCATAGTAGGCTGAGAAGTGCGTTCTGGCTACTAGGTACGACATATATATATATATATATATATATATATATATATATATATATATATATATATATATATATATATATAATGTAAGTTTTGTAATATTGATAGTGAATTATGTCGTTTTTTTAGTGAAGGTGATGTTTTATTTTTAATTAAGGTGATGTGCTATTGTTAGTGAATGTGATGTCTTATTGCTAGTGAAGGTGATGTCTTATTGCTTATATATATATATATATATATATATATATATATATATATATATATATATATATATATATATATATATATATATATTTATAATATTGGTTATAGGTTCAAGACCAAGCAGAAGGACGAGTAGTAATTATTAATTAATTATATTTTTATTATAATAATATTGATAATAATAATTGTTGTAAATAATAATTATTATTCTTCCTTCTGCTTGGTCTTGAAGCCAGCCGACCGCTGGTGAAACAGGGCTGTGACAATAAATCTGGAACCCGTAGGAACGGGGCCGGGACATCCACATTCTGGGGCTCGTACGGCCCCTCCTGAAGCCTCCCGCTTCAGGAGGCTGGAGTCGTTCTTACCCTTGCTGGGGTAGTTCTTCTCCGAACCCGACCACGGCGGTCTCCGAGTTTGGAGTCCCTGTGCCTTCTTTTACCAACTTCCAGGTAACCTCCGGAGCTGGAGCCCCCTAGGGAAGTTCGATATTACCTACAACGGATATTACTGTTCTTGTGACGGCGCTGGAACCGATCGTATTGGCGTTTGCCTTTCCTTTGAAGACTTTCGGCGCCGTTGAGGGAGGGGGGAGAGAACATGCTGCTTGGGTAACAGCTTCTTCCCCATATCAACCTACCCTGGCTTTGCGCCCTGGAGAGGCCACTCCAGACCCCAACTCCATAGTCTCCTGAGACTGATGGATGCCTACTATTTAATGGTTAGGAAGGGATAAATAAAGTTATGATAATGTGTCAACAAATTTATTCACATCGAAAAATAATCAAGTTTACAGTTAACTTAACGTTTAAGACCCGTCAACTGCGCGGGGGTGATTAAGGAGGTAACATCTGATTACTGACAAACTAACTAACAAGTATACTTTAGCCCTGATCACAGGCCACCAATTCAGTAAACTCTCAGTGTATACACCGAGTAATGGTGTACACCTAGCTCTCATAGCAACCGTTCTTATTACCATGGATAAACTACCTGAAATCCTTGCACTGTATCCATATTTCGCTTCCAGTTGATAAACGACACATGAGAGGAAGGAACAAATAGTATATTGTGAAGACTAATAATAAACAGAAGCTACCCTATGACTTTCTCCATTGGTCAAACTATTATGTATTAGCGATAAGACCTACCATTAATGTATAATGCTTACTGTAAATGTATAGCTCTTGAAATAGCACTTTCTCTGTAACTAGCTGACATTGTAACTATAAGGTGTGAAGGATACATGAAATTATACCTCCGGAGGTGTATGTATGTATGTATGTATGTATGTATGTATGTATGTATGTATGTATGTATGTATGTATGTATGTATGTATGTATGTATGTATGTATGTATGTATGTATGTATGTATGTATGTTGTATGTATGTATGTATGTATGTATGTATGTATGTATGTATGTATGTATATATGTATGTATGTATGTATGTATGTATGTATGTGTGTGTGTGTGTATGTATGTATGTATGTATGTATGTATGTATGTATGTATGTATGTATGTATGTATGTATGTATGTATGTATGTATGTATGTATGTATGTATGTATGTATGTACTCACCTAGTTGTACTCACCTAGTTGTGTTTGCGGGGGTTGAGCTCTGGCTCTTTGGTCCCGCCTCTCAACCGTCAATCAACAGGTGTACAGATTCCTGAGCCTATCGGGCTCTATCATATCTCCACTTGAAACTGTGTATGGAGTCAGCCTCCACCACATTACTTCCTAATGCATTCCATTTGTCAACCACTCTGACACTAAAAAAGTTCTTTCTAATATCTCTGTGGCTCATTTGGGCACTCAGTTTCCACCTGTGTCCCCTTGTGCGTGTTCCCCTTGTGTTAAATAGACTGTCTTTATCTACCCTATCAATCCCCTTCAGAATCTTGAATGTGGTGATCATGTCCCCCCTAACTCTTCTGTCTTCCAGCGAAGTGAGGTTTAATTCCCGTAGTCTCTCCTCGTAGCTCATACCTCTCAGCTCGGGTACTAGTCTGGTGGCAAACCTTTGAACCTTTTCCAGTTTAGTCTTATATACATACATACATCGTATGTATGTATGTATGTATGTATGTATGTATGTATGTATGTATGTATGTATGTATGTATGTATGTATGTATGTATGTATGTATGTATGTATGTATATATATATATATATATATATATATATATATATATATATATATATATATATATATATATATATATATATATACATCTGTCAATCTCTGGAGGGTTATGAAGGCCACCACAATCGCTGACTGACTAACCAGCAACTATAGATTAGTCCTGAACAAAGTCCCGGACTATAGTAAGCTCTCAGGGTATATACACCGAGAAATACCGTACACCTCCCTATGTATATATACCTGCATATGGGGTTCCAAGTTATAGGACCGGCTTTTAAAGCTGATTATTATTTTCCAACCCATCCTCAGGCTATGCTTGTCTAAGCTGCGCCCGTCCCCGCTAAGCATTCCTCAGTTTATCCTCTGTAGTATGCATTCAAAATTGGTATTTTTCAGATATACTTCAATATTGGTAAATATTAGAATATGGTGTATAGTTAGGCTTAGATCAGTTAGGTTTCCTGGACGCAATGGTTTTTTATCATCACGTGGAACCACAATTGCAAATGAAAGCCTAATATTACATACCAACGTAAGTTTCTATCTCACAGAGGCAGTATTTGACCAGAGTCTCCGTGTCTCTCCCCAGCAAGTTCTTTCGATGTTGCTTATATAACCAACTCATTGAAACTGAGCCAGGCTACCACTCTGAAATACCAAGTGTCATAGCTCCGGCCATAGATTTACTCACCAATAAATAACTAGAAATCTGAGCCTGTTCTTATATCTTGAGAAAAGCTAACATAGCAGTTCAGTAAAAGTGGAGATGACACTGACATTATTTACAAAGATTGACAAAACTAGTTGAGAAACTAAAAAACAGTTTTACTTCTATCTAAACATGATTAAGCTCGTCAGTTTTATATATTTTTTTATTTTTATTTAAAGATTTGTGGGTTATGGCGTCTTATTTTCAGCCACATTATTTTGAGTTATTGCATGCTATAGAACCTAAACTAAAGTAGTCTACATTTATCACTACGAAACTATATAATATGCTGAAATAACTTCTAACATTTATATATATGCTAAGCTACGCCTCATGGTGTATTACCCTACAATATGATAACATAATATCACACAATATCCGTAACTCTGACCCGAAATACTTCACATGAGTATTGTTGTATACAAATGATATAACTAACTACATGTAAAAATTGAACTACAAACTCTATAATATTTGTGTGTAAATATAATATTTTGTAGTAACATGGTTATTATTATTGTTATTATATTGACAATGATCATGAAGAGAATGCCTTCCTGTAGGCTTGCTGACGAAGATCAGGAGGTGTCGTCTGTAAGGTCAGGATATAGCCGGGCTACTGACGACTCAGAGATCGTTGTCTGTGAGGGTGTCCTCTTGGGTGAGGAGAGTGGAGCTGGCCTGTAGATGGGTGTCTTGATGGCTACTCTCCGTCTCTCTGGCCTTAACCGCCAGGTACACTAATGGACTCAATGCCGCGTTCAGAAAGAACAGTGAGTTAGTCAAAATCAGCACTCTTCTCAGCACATTCATCATCTCTGACCGGCTGCTAGACCAGACGAACTCCAGAATCTGAAGGAGCGTGGGTAGTCCTTGGCACATGGTGAGGGTCACTGTGAGACCAAGGAGCAGCCGCCACACTGGCAAACCTTCCCTGTCGTTTTGCAGCGTCAATATAGACGTCGACTTAGTTGACGTCGCCATGGATAACATCACCCAGCATGTGACTAGAGTGACGGTGTTTGAAGATATCGAAAAAAAGAGATACAGAGAAAAAGCAGTTGAGGCCTCTGAGGCGATGAGCAAAACGCAATGAGTTACAGCACTTTTATCGTATATCTGTGCGCCAAAGATGGTCAAATACGGGACAGCCAGGACGACCGCCAAGACCCACACAACGCTTACCAAGACTTTCATCACTCTGGTGCGGCGGGAGAGGCTCTCATCCCCCGTGTGCGTGACAGCATAAAAGCAGTCCACACTCATCACCAACAGGAAAGCATTGCTAGCATAAGAGCACACGTGGAGTTGAGTCATGCACATCCTGCACAGGACATCGCCAAACATCCAATGATCAAGGGTGATGTCAGCCACGAGTGCTGGCACCGGGAGGAAGAAGAGTAGGTCGGCCAAGCATCGGTTGAGAACATAGATGTTGGTGATGCGGACCTTGCCGGGGTACCTCAGCATGCAGATGACATAGAGGTTGGCGATGACTCCCACGGCCGCAAACACCAGCATGGCGTACGCGAACACCAAGCTCACTTTGCGGTCCACATGAACCTCACCAGTCACGTTGTGCTCAGAAACATTACTCAAGTTATTCATGGTTTCTGTTTGGGTGCTCTCTAGTCCTTGGTGCTGGTTGGTGACTGCTAGAGTCCTGGTGCTGGCTGGTGACCTGTAGAGTCCTGGTGCTGGCTGGTGACCTGTAGAGTCCTGGTGCTGGCTGGTGACCTGTAGAGTCCTGGTGCTGGCTGGTGACCTGTAGAGTCCTGGTGCTGGCTGGTGACCTGTAGAGTCCTGGTGCTGGCTGGTGACCTGTAGAGTCCTGGTGCTGGCTGGTGACCTGTAGAGTCCTGGTGCTGGCTGGTGACCTGTAGAGTCCTGGTGCTCGCTATTGACCAGTAGAGTCCTGGTGCTGGCTGGTGACCTGTAGAGTCCTGGTGCTGGCTGGTCACCTGTAGAGTCCTGGTGCTGGCTGGTCACCTGTAGAGTCCTGGTGCTCGCTATTGACCTGCAGAGTCCTGGTGCTGGCTGGTGACCTGTAGAGCCCTGGTGCTGGCTGGTGACCTGTAGAGTCCTGGTGCTGGCTGGTGACCTGTAGAGTCCTGGTGCTCGCTATTGACCTGTAGAGTCCTGGTGCTGGCTGGTGACCTGTAGAGTCCTGGTGCTGGCTGGTGACCTGTAGAGTCCTGGTGCTGGCTGGTGACCTGTAGAGTCCTGGTGCTGGTTGGTGACTGCTAGAGTCCTGGTGCTGGTTGGTGACCCCCGGGTCGTGGTGCTGGCTGGTGACCCCGGGTCCTGGTGCTGGCTGGTGACCCCCGGGTCCTGGTGCTGGCTGGTGACCCCCCGGGTCCTGGTGCTGGCTGGTGACTCCCGGGTCCTGGTGCTGGCTGGTGACTCCCGGGTCCTGGTGCTGGCTGGTGACTCCCGGGTCCTGGTGCTGGCTGGTGACCTCCCGGGTCCTGGTGCTGGCTGGTGACTCCCGGGTCCTGGTGCTGGCTGGTGACCCCGGGTCCTGGTGCTGGCTGGTGACCCCCGGGTCCTGGTGCTGCCTGGTGACTCCCGGGTCCTGGTGCTGCCTGGTGACCCCCGGGTCCTGGTGCTGGCTGGTGACCTCCCGGGTCCTGGTGCTGGCTGGTGACTCCCGGGTCCTGGTGCTGCCTGGTGACTCCCGGGTCCTGGTGCTGGCTGGTGACCCCGGGTCCTGGTGCTGGCTGGTGACTCCCGGGTCCTGGTGCTGCCTGGTGACTCCCCCTGGTGCTCCTGGTGCTGGTGCCTGGTGACCCCCGGGTCCTGGTGCCTGGTGGTGCTGGTGCTGCTGGTGACTCCCGGGTCTTGGTGCTGGCTGGTGACCCCGGGTCCTGGTGCTGGCTGGTGCTGCCTGGTGACTCCCGGGTCCTGGTGCTGGCTGGTGACCTCCCGGGTCCTGGTGCTGGCTGGTGACTCCCGGGTCCTGGTGCTGCCTGGTGACTCCCGGGTCCTGGTCCTGTGTGCTGCTGGCTGGTGACTCCCGGGTCCTGGTGCTGGCTGGTGACTCCCGGGTCCTGGTGCTGCCTGGTGACTCCCGGGTCCTGGTGCTGGCTGGTGACCCCCGGGTCACGTTCGGTAATCAATTATATCTGCAGAGAAAAAATGTATTTTTACACCAGGTGAAAGTTATTGATCTACACTTTGCGAGAAAATCACTTATACAATCGAAAAATAACTAAAATGTCCAAACAAAATTTTACATAACCATTATAAATATCTTCATCTCTCGCTCTCTCTCTCTCTCTCTCTCTCTCTCTCTCTCTCTCTCTCTCTCTCTCTCTCTCTCTCTCTCTCTCTCTCTCTCTCTCTCTCTCTCTCTCTCTCTCTCTCTCTCTCTCTCTCTCTCTCTCTCTCTCTCTCTCTCTCTCTCTCTCTCTCTCTCTCTCTCTCTCTCTCTCTCTCTCTCTCTCTCTCTCTCTCTCTCTCTCTCTCTCTCTCTCTCTCTCTCTCTCTCTCTCTCTCTCTCTCTCTCTCTCTCTCTCTCTCTCTCTCTCTCTCTCTCTCTCTCTCTTTCTAACAGCTCAACGTTATGACCACTATTTAAAGATGTAATATTGATCATGAAATTTGAATAAATGCAAACATATTCAAATAATTTAAATATTTGAGGGTGATTACAAAATTTGATGCAATTGCTTCAGTACTCTTGCTGAGAGATATATATATATGAGCCAATATTTACGAAATGAGAGTAATTATCTGTCCACGGAGGCGTTAAGTCAGCTGTCTGGGTCGTCAATATCCCTCCGCGCGCTAAGTAGTACCTTCGTATATTTGGTGATTATGGATAACCTGTAGAATATATAGAAACGTTTTGTTGATAAGAGTAGACTATTTTTTATATTTTTTTCTACAAGTTGACTATTGTTAAAATGGGAATTTTCAGGAATTACTGTGCTGATTGGACATTGGATATTGAGGGACGAACGAGGCTGCTGGCGTCCTCAGGGACTAGACGATGGTGGTTGGCGAAATAAGGTTGGACAGAGGCTCTTGGTTAAAACAAGTTTTCACCACGCCAGACAGTCAGATAAACCACAGTTCACATTAGTATAAGTGGCAGAATATCCTTTTATCATGTGAGTAAATTCGGAGTACTTGTAGAGTCCAGGTTTCATATTATATATCTGGGTCCTTGATATATTTCCTGAGTGGACAACCAGTTCATTTATGTGCTTTTCAGACTAAGGTGATTTTTATCTTGAGATAAGTATAGTCATATAGTGAAGATTTGGCATATATTCAACGTTCTAAATCTTGCACATTATCTAAGTTTTTTAAGTCAGGTATGGGAGTCTACCAGTTGATTACTCATTTTCACAACTCATAAGGACCAACGTCACCACTCGAACGATGAAGATGACCTTCGATATGGCAGAACAGGCACAGGATGCAGTGAAGAAAGGTTTCATATGCTTTGGAATCACCACCTAGCCGAACCAGATCGCCAGGGAGAAGGTCTATAATGTCAGACAATGCTACAGGTGCTTCAGTTATGAGCACTTCTCTAATAAGTGCCCGAAGCAAACACCAAAGTGTAGCTCATGCTTGGGCAACACAGCTTTAAGGAATGTACCCCCACTACCAAACAATGCCCGAACTGTAAAGAACAGCACGCCGCCACCTCCTACCTCTGCAATAAAAGGAACGAGGAACTTAAAAAACTCAAAGAAAAGACTACCACTCCACCTCCACCGAACACCAACCGACAGGCTGTCACACCGTTAGATCTTGGACCGGACCAGTTCCCGAATCTCCCTTCAGCAAGCCAGACACAGAAGACATCGGTATAGACCGGGAGACCATAAAACCCCCAACAACAAGATACTGTATCATCAGGGACGACACCCCCCCCCTCCCAATATATCCATATCCAATACACACAGAAATCACAATAGCGTTTGGGATTTATGTGTGTAATGAAGGGTGAAAAGGTAGAACAGCTTACTGACATAGCTCGAGTGCATGGGGGAATTGTGCAAAATCCTGGTTTGTGTCTCGGAGAGGCTGCAGGATCCAAGTAAATTCAGTAGAATTTCTGGTTACAATTGTTATACCATGTCGTAGCTCAGTCGATTAAGGCAGCATCTGGGAGGCTCTCAGACGTAGGTTCGAATCCTCGTCACGGCCCTTGTGGATTTGTTCCTTAATCCATATCCAAGTTACTATCGCATATGCAGACAGAGTAGCACAACAAGACAATAGCCTGTTCCTCAGAACAGTGATTGAGCTACTGATAGCTATCTGCATCGCACCATTTCAAATGCCAGTGATGACACACACCGCCTCAACTACCCAGATCAACACAGAGCTGGCCCACGACGGTTTACCAAGTGGACAAAAACGAAGCGGACACCCTAACAGAGGCTCCACGAACGACTGCGACTGCATTCAACCAGACGACGGTGACAGCGGTTCCCAACAAAAACACATCAGGATTACAGGCGACACAGGACAATGAAGAGCATGCATCTTCAGACGAACATGTGGAAGTCGATGATAATTCCAGTGAAGAAGACAACGGCCAATACTCCCGACGCCGATAACGCTATATGTGCTAAAACACTACGTCAAAGGTCTACAAGATTCGCCCGGCATAATGAACAAGGAAGCACGCACATTCACATCTTTCTTAAATGGCCAGGAGTGCACCATCAACATACCGCCCATGATGGACATGGACGCGGTGGAAACGACCCTGGTCGCCCAGGTACACTTACGAAGCTATAACAAAAAACCAAGGAACTAGAAAAAATAAACATCCAGAAGGCCTCGCGAGACAGTGATGCAGTAACGGTGGATTATTTGACAATTACAAGCAAGAGGGCCAAGCTGCTGCTTGGCCCTCTTGACCCTCTTTGTCCACCGTGCGGATGCTTTGGGAGGTGTGTTCGCCTCTAGTACAACAATCCAAAATTCTCGCCCTGCTGCTGAGTTAAGCCCTGGCTTAACCCAGCAGCAGGACTACGACTATGAAAACACCTCTCCAGACTATTCTTTCGTCTGTCCCCACTTCCCGCTCCCCCTTTACCTGTACAATCAATTGAATGATTGAAACCACGAGACACAGGTCTGGGCGGGGAAGCCTCTGTCATTTATTTATTTAATTATTTATTTACTAAAAGGTACATTGGGTTGTGAGAGTACATACATTGATGACTGTTCCGTTCTTGCTTAGCCACTTACATGCATAACGTGTGGACAGGTCCTTAAGCTAACCAATAAATAAAATAATAGGTACATTGTAACAGAATTTGAATTCAACATTATAACTACTTTATAAACTGGCAGAATCGATTATACTGATAAAGTTGCATGTGTTAAGTACTAAATTGGGCGAGTGGGTAGCACACGATAACGTGTGAGCTAGTAGCACAAGGTGGGAATTATGAAGATGAAACTAGGTACTTTTGGGTTCTTCTTTTGAATAAAGCGAAGGTTGGACAAATATATAATTCATTAGGAAGTAAGTTACATAGACGGGGTCGTTCTATTTGCATGGATTGTTTGCACAGATTTATCCTGACTCTAGGGATATCCAAGAGATATATATTTCTAGTGTGGTGCTCATGACTTCCATTACATCCTTCACTGGAGGGTTTCAAAACGGAATGAGAATCTATGCACTACTAAGCTGCAGCAGTGGGTGTGGTCCTGCACTACTAAGCTGCAGCAGTGGGTGTGGTCCTGCACTACTAAACTGCAGCAGTGGGTGTGGTCCTGCACTACTAAGCTGCAGCAGTGAGTGTGGTCCTGCACTACTAAGCTGCAGCAGTGGGTGTGGTCCTGCACTCCTAGGTAGAAGCAGAAGGTGATGACTGTGTGGATGCTAACTCCCTGCTTCCTATGCGTCTCTCAACTCAGATCCATATGAAAACATTCGCTTCAGTATAGCAGGTTTCAGCCTTCTAATCAGTTTCTCGCAGAGTGTAATGTCGAAGGCCTTTTTATGGTCAAACTAGACTATATATGCTGATGTTTTCGTTAGACCCATATATGCTTTTGTAGAACAGCAAATTTGTAATAAGATCTCCCTCGTAGAGATTATCTTGAGAGTCCTATAATACAAAACCTTGTTGTGGTGTTTTCTTATTGAATTCTCTGTTATAGCTCCGAGCTATAGCTTGTCGGAAATCCCGACAACAATTACTAACTCCTGACATACCTAAATAAAAATGGTCAAGTCAAGTAATTACTAACAATACTAATATTATTTAATTTGTTGAGGAGAGAGATTCTCTGACAACAATGGGAAGGTATTGCATCAGCCACACCAGCCAGTACCTAATATTTCCCGTCTTAACATTAAAATACTTCCGGTTTTAAATTGAAATGTTAAAGAAGCATTCATTAAATACTGATTATAAA